GTTCCGCGAATTTGCCGTAATCCGTCAGTTCGATGAGGAAAGAGACAGAGGAAATTTATATATATATATATATATATATATATAAACACGCATAATTTATAAAATTAGCTTGGGATTTATGAGAAAATTGAACCTATTACCGAATAATAACCATCGCGTTTACTTCACCCCGCGGGAAATGTTTCTGCAAAAAATTCCATTTTTCCGCCGCTTCCTGCACAAAAATATACAATATTTCTACATTATTATGTGACGAGCAATGGTATCTTCCGTCGAATGTGACGTTGTTACTTGCATTAATTGATGTGCATTATTACGGAATAATTTATAACTTGGCCGAGAAACTAAGAGGGACAAAGAACAAATTCATAGATCGCTAGGCTCCGTTCTCTAGCGAAACGCACCCATCGATTCATTAGGACGTAATTACCGCGGGGAACGCGACGCATGGAATATTCTTACTCATTTACTTTCCATCGTAGAAGTTAATTAGAGGGCTTGCGGTATATTAGGATTGATACTTATCACTTTCCCCATTATCGCACCACCACCACCATCGTCGACGTCGACGTTTCATTAACGACTCCGTCGACGTTCTTTGTTTTCCGTTTTCGTCCTCCTGGTCTCTCTCTCTCTCTCTCTCTCTCGTTTCATCCCTGACGTGGCGCGTCGTTATCGACACGGGACGAACTTTCTTTGTCGATTAGATTCGCGTAAGGCAGGATCGTGCTTCTTCTGACCGATGACTTCGCGTTCGTTTCACTTCTTCTCGCGATTCTCAACATCGATGCTAATATCGTTTCCTCCTGGGGGATGATTGGAAAATATTTTTTTTTCCAAAAACCAACAACTGCTACTCTCCTCTCTACGTGCGAGGGATACATCTAATCATCATCGATAAACATTTGCGTCGTGCAATGGCCACGCGCGTCACGAGTTTGATGGAGAATAATATATTTCTCGGGTTCTCAATTAAAAAACAGTTCATTGTACATATTATGGTTTTATTTTAACGTTTAGCTTCGTATATTCTTTGGTTGAATAAATTCTGCCGTGTATTTCGCTCATTCTTTTCATATGAAACTTGCACCGTTTTGCGCGTACAATTTTCGCGAAACACAAAGACGAAAGGAAACGAGCGGGACGATATGAAATTTGCTGAAAAACCAAAAAGTTTAATCGAAACGTTTTTAAACATGCATACAACAATATCCGTGATGGGAATACAGGCTGCTTTCAACGCGACCGCGCGAGAGTATCAATAATTTGGTAGACCACATCGTCTGAAAACAAATTTAATTGCCATCATCACGGATAATACGCTATGGTAATGCAACAATAATGGCGACGGAACGGGGGCGGTACGTCGCATGAATAACGAGGTAATGCGATTCTCTAATCAAATTGGAATCCGTTCTCCCTTAACGATGGTAAACATTGAACTATTATACGATTTCCAACGCGTTATTTACGCGTAAAGTTCGTCTTCTGCAGCACGGCCGCGATATTTCATTCCCAGTTTGCAACTCGATATATACGATCGTTGTTGTACATACGCTCCGCTGTTGTCTCCGTTTGGATAATTAATAACGAGTCTAATGATTTCTTTGTGAATAGCGTAATTTAGATAATTCTGTTATAAACGACAACACGGCGATAATCGTGACGTGCATATATAATCCACCGCCTGATTAATCGACAGCTTAACTCCTTGATCAATCCTCTGCTCCTTCTTTTGCTCCTTCAAGCTGATTTGTTTTGTCGATTGGGACGATTTCACTCCCAACGCACTTTGCTTTATTAATTTTTAATCCGCTGCAAAAAGTCTCGACATAATTTCCGACTAATTTGCTCCTCAATATCTACAATGATCGTGCGCGCAACGCTTTATCGCAATTTAATATTTATTTAAAATGTTTGTGTAATTTAATTTAATGGATAATTTCCCGAGCTTTTGTGTAATTGCAAATTTTATATGGAACCGAAATTCTTCCGATTAGTCGAAAATATTCAACACATTAAATTTTCTCTCTTCTGCCTGTTTTATTCGTCTGCCTGATATATTCGTAACTTCGGAGAGCACGATTTATGAATACTCCGAGCTTAATTTAATTTTGCGTGTTACATTTGAGCTCTGTTTCACCTCCAGGTATTTGTAACTTTCGACATTGTAATTTATGTGGGAACACTTCCATCGTTCCGTCCATTTGATTGCGATCGGAGTTATTTTAGCTTCATAGACACGGTACGTTGTTTGAAATTGTTTTTCGGCCGGAATATCTCGTGACGCGAAACTGATGGGGGGAACCACTGCGATGTAGTGGCGAATCCTTCGAATCGAATTCGCGGCCTTCTTCGCTTCCGAAGTGAATTAACCCGCCTCTAATGCATCACGAGAGTAGCCGCTAAGAAGCGCTCGTGCGCGACCGCTCTCGCTCTGCCGTGCGCCACATCGCCGAGTTATAACGCGACGAAGCACGTCCCGAAGGGACTCGCAATTTATTCGCTTCGTCCGCTTGTCGGGTTGTGCTGAAAAAGAGAGCGGACGATAATTAAGCGGCCAATTTCCGTCGATGTCTGTCAACGGAAACGGACGGACCATTGCCTCACGCTACGTAATGCCGCGGTCCTCGTTGACTTAACGCGCTCATTAATAATCCTCTTGCTTTTGTTTTCCGTCGTTCCGTGCGCTCCTCACGCTGCTCCTGTCGCGCGGAAAGCTCCGGCGCTTTTTCCGCCTTCCGGCCTTTTTGTCCGCAACGGGAAACTTTGCCCATCGTTCCGCCCGCGGACGGCACGCGCTACCCTCGGACGTGGGGACCTCGTAATTTTCATCTCATTTCGTCCTGGCGACGCTTAAATGCCAACTACTCCCGCCGCCGGCCGGTCCCTACCGCCTGCGCATCCCTACCGCGTCGAGGATAAATGCGACAGATAAGACGGACGGACGCTTTAGATGGCTGATTTGCATCCGTTCCTTGTACGTGTCTGCTAAATTAACTCTCATCAACACGCAAAAACCTTGTCGCTCGCCGGCGAGAGAGGAGAGGGGGAGGGGGAGGGGGAATTGACGACACTCTCTCCTTTTACATTTTAAAAAGATCTGCCAGGCTGGCTGAGAGCGATATCGCCGGGATGAGAGAGATGATTTCTCGCGTATTTTTACATATTTCCCACCCAAGTATCCTCGACCGTTCACTGGTGATCGTCCAAGTTTTAATTTGTGATGTGATTGTGATGTTACGGATTTTTCTTTGGGTTGTTGGAATGACGAGTCATCGCGGGATCAAACGAGAACGAGACGAGAGGACGCTTTGCGAGTTCTTTTACGTGACGGACGATCCTCCAATGGCGCTTACTCGCGTGTCAGCAGAAAGCCGGGCACACAGGGGTGCCGATTTTCTTTATTAAATATTTGACGACGGATTAAGAGAGCGAGAGCGCGGGGTATGCGCCATTACAGGGAATAAAATGAGAAGGCACGACAGCGCGCGTGATCGGAAAGGGTCAGGCCTTTTTATTTGCTTTGTTAGTGGATTCGGCGGAGTGGTCCCTTTTGGGATATTAATCCGCGTTTCCTTGCGCGTTTCCGAGGGACGCTGCGGAACGCGCGCACCGCCTGCGGATAAGTATTAATTTCACGCATTGTAATACGAGGATATTTCGCTTCGGTTCCGCTCGAGTCAAGACGGTCAAGACGAAGGAAACGACGGGGAAGGATACGCGCGCCTGTGGAAAGCCTCGCCCCATGTGGTCGAAACATTTCTTTTTCTGTCCGAGATAGAAGAGAGACCGCGCTTGAGCGCTCGAACGGAAGAGCGGACATTCCGCGGGATGTAACGGCACAAATGCGTGCATTATTATCGACTTATTGGTAATGCAACAGAGAGAACAACTCAGAAGCCGAAGGAGCAGCAGAGCCGCTTTTCGCCGGCCCGGCCATTAGTACACGAAACACGCACGTCAAGCGTGTACAGGGTGTACACAGCACATACAGGTCAGTTTGCTTGTGACGGGTTGCTTGCCTCTATTCGGACGATAATGCAGAGGTTGCCGAAAAAGTCATTCGTTGACTTTGTTGACAATGATATTTGCAGTGCTCCCAGTTATGACAAATTCAATTAATTTTGCACCGTGATCGTTGTTGTAACAATTTATCGACCGTTTAGCGACAGGAGTCGAGCTTCGTTGAATGAATGAAAAAAGATGTTTAAAAAATGAAACTGAAAAATAAATATTACGCAGATTAAGCAGAATTAAACAGATTAAATAAGAGCGATACTTAAAGAGATAAATAATACAACATATTTCCTGGTTTCGCGTAATTTCTTAATTGCTTTCTTACGTTGAAAAGTTTGACAGAAATTGAAAATTAGAAAGAACAATACAGAAATATTTACAAGTCTCATGTACTGTATTTCATCCACGTTTCAAGAAAAGATCGCTTCCGCAAAAGTATGAATGGACCAGAGAACGCAGTATAAATATTGGTTGCAACTTAATCGATCGCAACTATCAGGCTGCAAAAAATTTTGAAAAATAGGCCCTATTTTCGATAACCAATACTTTTTCGGCAATTATGTCTCTGCATTATCGTCCGAATGGAGGCAAGCAATCCGTCATACTGACCCGTATGTTGCATCCTGTGACATCCCGTGACAAAGGGACGCGCATTTCCGCTTTGTTCTCGGCTTTCTCAAAGTATGCTAACCTCTCTCTTTGTGGGCCGACTAGCGCGCGGCCCGCTGTTTTAAGTTTCCAATATCACTCGATATACGGGACAATTTCAGCTCTCGTAATAAAAGACCATGATACTGCTGCTCGGCTTCCCATTGACTGACCGGGACGCGCGAGAGCTTCTAATATATCCCGCGAGTCTTTTTCTCTCTCTCTCTCTCTCTCTCTCTCTCTTACTCCATTGAAACGAGTGTGCGTGTGTCGATGAAACTATTCTTGGTCGATTCGAGACGCCAATGATGCGAACAGTGTGCGTATGTGTGTGAATAGAGATAGTCGTTTATTATTATGACTTCCAAACTAAGTACATCGTCAACAAGCCATATTGATCGAAACACATTTATAACGTTGCGATAATATCATCCACACTCTTGACAGTTGGTTTATTATTATTATTCTTTTTCCGTAGCTCCCGAGCCTATCGCTCGCACTAGTTGACAAGCGCATGCTCGCGCATACAGGCATATTGTATTAATCTTAAATTATACATCACAGTTTACATGTATGTGCAAAGTGTTCGGTATTGAGTATGCAAGTCCCGCGAGAGATAGGCGCGCGCGTTCTCGATCCGTCCAATCGGCCCCACTGACGTGGCTTGCGACGTGGATCCGTCGCAATCCGACGGAAGCTTCCCGCGAGGCGCTTCTCGAGCTGCACGAAACGGCTGCAGCCTCTGGAAAATACAAAACAGAATTTATTTCATAAACGAGACACGTTGTGCAGAATCGTCGACGATGGGGCATCGATAGGCCCCATCTCGATCGACGGGAAGCCCGGAATTTCAATCGCGTCCGACATATTCGAGATAGAAAACTTCCGGCTCCCTTGCGCGTGTATAAAATAAATTTCCTGCCGTGATGTCGTGAGACTGCGTCCTGCGGGAAGAGCGACGGAGAGAGATTTTCGCGAAAATAAAGTATTCTTACGCGGCGACAAATTTCTGACATTGATTAATAAATGCGCGAGGAAGCGCGAGCAGCTGCGTTTAATCCGTTCTTCCTTTCCCGGAAAAAAGTTTGATTGCAACGAATTACGGCAATGCGTTGAATATTAACTCGCATCGATTTTATACGCTCCCCCTCCGCCCTCTCTCTCTCTCTCTCTCTCTCTCTCTCTCTCTCTCTCTCTCTCGCTCGCTCTGTCGCTCTATCTCTCTTCGCAGCGAGAGCAGCTTTATGCGCGGTTTGCAATCTGCATCGTTAATATGTTTCATTACCGCGAAATAACGAAAATTGCGGACGCGTGAAAATTCGTTCGAATTAAACCTCGACCTCGACCGTGTGCCAGCCGATGCTTTTAGTGAGCTCTATTTCACTCCTGTCGGTAACCGTCGTTACCGTCGAAAGAGACACTTTGCTACAAACAAATATCTTTAACGAATCAGACGGGGACGGCCGCGCGCGCGCGCGCGCGATGCGCAGCATCTGGTGGTGAAGATGAATCACCGCTGTTGCTTTTAAATGATTCAACGTATAGCACCCTTTCGACCAAAGTTGTGCGCCCGCCCGCTAATAATTCCTCGGCGTCTCTACCACGCGCGCATATAACGCCAAAGAGCAAAGCGGGGCAAAGCGAGTGCTCATACTTCATAAAATCTGCGCTCGTTGAGACCGCGCTGGAAATGAGAGCGCACCAGGTCTACCCTCACGCGCTCGAATTCTCTCCGTGTGGTATCACATATAATGCGCATCCTCAAGCGGAATGTAATAAGCGCACGATAAAGCCGAAGTGGCGCAATTCTACGCGTGAAATTGCGCGCGCGAGCCCTTTGCCGCGAGCGGCACGGAAAGCGCGGGGAAAGCGTTGTTGGTCGCGACACTCGTGAAACTCGGTTCCTTTGGGGAAGGCATGACGCAAGGCAAAGGTGATGGTGGACGTCGTCGCTCGGGCTCTCACACGTCATCGATTGAACGCGCGACCGACGCCGCGAGGCAGAGAGAAAGACCGGGGGGGGAGAGAGCGATGTAATTTCTCAGATATTAGTGTTTCGTCGGCATGAAACGACGTCGTGTCCTGCATCGATTTGCACGAGCGCCGGAACGCGGCTTAATGGCCGAAATACGTGAGACTATCGTTTGCCGACGGGGCGAGTTTATCGGATGCTCCTTCATTTCGAGCACCGTCTCACATTATGAGATTTGTATCGTGAGCCTTTCCGCGAGAAGATTGGCCGCGATCGCGGATAAACGTTTGCCCGCGTAATAAGCTCCCCCGAGAATAAACATTTGCCGTAATAAATTCTCGAGTAAATAAAGGGGAAGGAAGGAAGGAAGGAAGGAGAGAAAGAGTAACGTGGCGTGTAATCAGTTTTTGCGTCTACTGATCTGCACTCTCGCGAAGTTTAGTTCCGGAAGTATAGAGCTCGCCCGGTGAAGGGAGCGAAACTTCTTTGACGGTAACTGAGTATCGGCTAATGGAACACGTGGTTATTTTCTTCCATAGACGGAGAAACCTATTCTCCCTCCATCTGTCCCTCAGTGCTCATGTCTAGTGATTTTGTGGAAATTTGTTGAAATTTCCTATAAACGATCGAGAAAGCACGTCCCCACGTGCACACCCAATGGAATACCTATGTCCGGTAGCGGAAATTTGTCGAAGTGCATGGCGGACGCGCGAGCGCGGCACGTCGCAGGGGGGCAAATGTAATATGCAGGGGATTGTTGAGCGCGCTGTTTGATCGCGATATCGAATTCGCCGAAGATGAGCAAACGTCTCGGCGGAGACGTTTGCCACCAGTTGCGGCGCTCTCTGTTGATCTTGGGATCCGACCGGCCGCGTAGGAGACGGATGCGATTATGCGGCGTTTGCGTAGGAATTTGCGCGCGCGGCCGCCGCGTCGCGATTAGCAACTTCATGATCGCGTGATTTCGCGAGGAATTGCCGCGAAGGGACTTCTGCGAGTTCATCGATTCATACGTCGAGTTCATTATTTCACTGCTATATCGATCGCTATATCGACCGTACGCATACGGTAGGGCGCTGATTTCCTCCTGGAATGTTGGACTTCACCTTTTGGATATATTTTTAGAGACCGAGGTGTGTTCTCGCCGGGGATGTTCTCGCTCTCGTAAGATCGTTTCTCGCAGATCTCACACCGGGCCGCGTTAGCCCGTTCAGTCGTATTCGCACCTGAGATCATCATGTCTCGAGAAATTCATTCTCGATCCGAACGAGCCTTCTCATTAATTTCATTACATAACCCGGTGAGTTCTCCCGGTGTTTAGCGAGCGAATCACGCCGGCCTAAGTAAACTGTACAGACGATAGACAGTCTTGTTAAGAAAAATAAAGCAGCAGTGTTTGTCTTCGGGCGAGAATTTCAGGAGAATGCCTCTGTCTTCGCGAAAACGGGCGGAGACGAGCGAGGAGAAGAGAGCGCGCGCGCGCGCGCGCGCGGCCGTAAAATGCAAAAAGTTATTAGGACCTATCGGAAAGAATGAGAAGAGTGTGGTGTAATCTCTCGCAATCTAAACATACGCCGCGGCATACAAAGAAAGCCCCGTTTGTGTATCTTGTGTTACGGGTGTAGGGGGCGGGACGATCAAAACACGCGGCTCGTCGAGACGCGTTGCGGAAAAACTTGATCGCGCGGCGCGCGGAACTGCATTTATCCATCCGGCTATTGAAATACGACTTCCTGGTTGGTGGTGGCTATTCCGCCGGTTAATTCCGTGCTACTATTTCGAGATGGAGAGTGCGCGCGCTCGATTTCGGAGTAAAGCCGTTAAACATTGGCTCGGTGAGAGTGAGTTTTTCCGCTAACGCCGTCGGCGAATCGACATCCATTTCCACGATCGTGCTCATAATCGTGCTGTAAATGCGAGACTAATTGCGAGACCGACTCGTATTTAAAAACGAGATCTTCGTCTCCGGTCGTTATTTAAACGTTTAACGTGCGTGACAAAACGTAACGGACGATGAAACGTTATCTCTGTCTCTCTCTTTTCTGTTGACGGGGGAAAACCTCTGCGGTTTTTCGACCTCGTAAATCTTTCATCGTTGCATCAGGCGAGTGCCGGGCGAGTTGCAAATTGTTATTATTCCCATTGAAGCGTATCACGCGCGCGCGTCGCACGCTCCGTAATACAGGATAGATATGTACCATTGCTTTTAACGCGAACTTGCGCGCGCAGAGTAGTCTGCAAAGTGAATCGCACTCGGCGCACAGAGTGAATCAGAATGATGTTTATAAAGGGACGAGCGTTCTGCGCTTCTGCCTGCTGCGGCGTAAATATTTATGATCTTTTTAGCTTCGCCCCGCGTATATATCTGTGTGTTTAACCGCGTATATATCTATGTGTTTAACCGCGTTGGCGTAATAATTACGCTCTGTGAAGATGCGCCCTGATAACACGGAACATCGCGTATATAATACTATAATACTATTTAACTAGGACGTAATCGAAATCGCACGCGCAGTCCGACGATATATATTATAATCGCTCGCAATTTTGCACTCGGCAACGATAATAATAATGCGGTTGATTGTCTCACATATTTGATTTGGTTCGGCTGACATTTTTCCAGCAATTTAGCCCGTGACGTCAAATCGATTAAAATTAGTCGTCAATTCAATACGGACAAATTCGATTCCGGGAAGAGAGAAAAAAATATACTAATATACGTCACTCTGTCCTGCATTCTCGGGGACCTTTTATAGGAGTTATTAAAATATCTTGCAGTCTCGATTCACACACATTCCGGAAAATATTTCATCGTATCACGCACATTGTTTGTACTTGAGCAATATCTTTTTAAAAAAATCGCTGCTCGCCGCGCGACAAAATTCTGCATGATATTTCTGCAAATTTTGCAGATAAAAAATATTACGCGGGTTATTACGATATCCGCGCCCTGTGGACATTGTTAGTTTTATATTTGGCACACTCCTCTTCTCTCATTTTTCTTCAATATGCAATCATTATTTTAAATTTTTATTCTTTTTCCCAATTATACGTATCTGCAGTTATTCTAAAATGTATTTTTATTATATTATTCTTACTCTCTTTCGTCGTGAGAAGAAACAATCACATCGTGAAGAAGACCGTTATCTTCGGCAAGTCAATGAAAAATGTATGTCCTTCATCTAACAATACAATAAGAAAGAAACATAGATACTTCAGTCACGGTCGTGATATTTCTATGAACTCCGGCATTAAAGAGTCACCCTGTAATGAGGCTGAAAAATCGTATTTATATTTCGCCGACATGCTACAATAACATACTTCGAGGGATTTCGTATTGGCTATCGTTGAGTCTTCGCGTCGTTCGCATGCAAATGCTTGCACTCGAGCGGATTATTTTTATTGCCAATGTTACGTCGCGCGTGTTAAGGGCGATATTTAAAGTGCTGTTTTTATCTTCGCTGCCTAGTCCGACGTTAAACCCAATCTTTTCTACTTAAATGCGCTCGCGCGCGTTTTTCTCCTCTCACGCGACTTTTCGCGAAATTTATCGCAGCCGTGTTAATCGCGATATATACGAGAGACGATTCGCACGGAGCCGTGTCCCTCCCCCAGTTTTCATAACTTTCTTGTGTTCTTGTTTACATTACACCCGCCACGAATGTTTATGGTTAGAGCTAACGATAAAGTAAATTCGACCGTAACGGCTCGCGAAACATGGAGAAAGGCACGTTACCGGGCGAGAACCGATCGGATCGTGCACGCGAATA